TCCCTGGAGGTTTTTAAGATCAGACTGGATGTGGCATCAGTGCCATGGTCTAGTAACCGCAGCGGGGTTGGATCAAGGGTTGGACTTGATGATCTCGGAGGTCCCTTCCAACCCAGCTGATTCTCTGGGGAGGTGGGCCCGCCCCAGCGGCGCAGGGCACACCAGGATGCCAGGGGAGGGGATGGGTGCAAGGGGGTGGCACCACCCCAAATCTCTGCCCGCCCTACTGACCTCTCTTGAGCAGGCTGGCCCGGTAGCGGCCCTCCAGGGTGCAGTTCCAGCGCTCGAAGCGGAACTGGTACTGGCACTCCAGGGCGCTCATGCTGATGGCCTCCACCAGGGTCTCGGCCACGCCCGGGTCCCGCCGGCACATCCTGCGCTGCTTCTTCTCCAGCTTCAGCCGGTCACACACCTTGTAGTGGGCTTTGACCGCCGCCTCCTCCATCTCCGAGGTCAGAGGGAGGATGGTCAGGGGCTCGTTCCCCGTCAGCCTGCAAGGAAACACAGAGGGGGGAAAAGCACGGTGAGGGAAGGAATTTTAGAGAGATGTTCTTTCTTCAGGGGAAATTTTAGGGAGAAATTCTTTCTTCAGAGAGCAGTGAAGCAACTGGAACAGGGTGGCCAGAGAGGCTGTGGATGCCCCATTGCCTGGAAGTGTCCAAGGCCAGGTTGGATGAGGCTTAGAGCAACCTGGGCTAGTGGAAGGTGTCCCTGCCCATGTGGGTTGGATCTCAGTTGTCTTTAAGGTGCTTCCAACCCGAACCATTCCGTGATTCTATGAAATACAGCCCGTGGGATCAGGATCCTGTGGCTGAGCACCCATGTGGACTTGATGTCCGGGCACAGAGGGATTTTAAAGCAAAGCTCCCCTCAGTGTGTGTGCAGGGTGGGAGCAGGAGAAGGGTAAAAAGCAGTATTAGGATTTAGGTTCCCTACCAGCTCTCACAGACATAATGGACATTATGTTTGGACATAAACCCTTGGCCATCTTCACTGTAGGTCTGTGTTTAAAACCGAAATTGGAAAGCAATAATCAAAGGTTCCCAACTGCACGAACTCGGGAAAACAGCAAATATATACGAGTTCTACAGTCACTGTCCTGTGCATAAAGAAAAAAATCATTTTGGCACATCAAGCAGAGCCAGAAACCACCTTGGGAAGGGGCAGAGGATGGTGTGTCCCACCAAACCCCAAGAGACACCCTGAGAAAGCACATAAAGCCTCCCTGCCCTCAGCAGAAGAGATCCTGACATAAAACCCAGCGAGCCGCAGCCTGAGGTTGGAGAGCAGGATACACTTTCCAGGAGATACTGCCAAGAGCTTTTACAAGACAGAACGAGCTCAAAACCTAAAAAAAATGCCCTGAAGAAGTTCACGTCCCGTTGCCCCCTCCCCTCCCTTCTCCCAGCACGAGGTCCCTGACTGGTACAATGTGCCACAAAAGCCCAGCGAACTGTTCCCGGTGTCAAGTGACGGAGCTGCTGGAAAAGGACCAGCCTGGCATCGGCCCCGGGGAGCAGAGAGGCTGCAGGAACATCTGCTGGGCTCAGGAATGGTTTGTTGGCCAGGTTGGCTGTACCCCACTCTCCTGGCTCTGCCCTGCTCCGGCCAGGTGCCAGTCCAGGCAGTCAATGGGAATCACCGGGCAGGGCTTCGGAGGACCTGGACACACAATCCCCAGGCAAAAAGGAAGAATGGCTTAAATCTGGAATTCCAGGATTGCTGGAACATTGACATCCCAAACAGGGGAGCATGGGGATGGATCACAGGCTTGGACATCTCCGTTGCTGCAGGACCACCAGGGAAAACGGGGAGGGGAGCTCACACTCACCCCCTTTGCTGGATGCTGATGGATCCTGGAAACTCTTTATCTTTGAATTCCCACCTGTCCCACAGGAGCAGTGCTTTCTTGTTTTTAATTCTCTCTAATCAGTGGGATGCATCCTGCCAGGAGCACAGTTGCCAAGGGCAGGCAGCTTGGATGCTTTAACTCCCAAACCTCAGTGCACAAAGGGCATAAAATCCCGCCCTGGGTCGCAGCCAGCAGCAGCCAGGACAGATCCAATCATTCCTGATGCACTGAGGAGGTGATTTAACATCAGATATCTGAGGGAGGAGGGAAACATATAGCTGAGCTGGGATTTTTAGGAGAACAAAGATGGGCAGGGAGATGTTCTCCTTCAGTTACCCTCAAAAGTATTAAGATCTCCAGAAACAACCTGCACTGATAAAAATTCATTGGGAACATGGAAAACTGGTGCAACCCAGGGTAAATTTGCAAAAAAAAAAATATATTTTTCCCCCAAATTTGAGAAAAAACAATCTAAAAGACCAAACAGGAAGCTCCACTTGAGGCACAAATGTTAACCCTTTCATTTTTGGTCTGTCTTAACTGGGACAGAGTGGGGACTTGGTCTCATCTGCTCTCCAAGGAGAGGGGACATCACCCAGCCCTGGTGCTTTGTTAGCAGGAGCTCCCAGGAGGTTCATTTATGGGAAAGGTGCCTTAGTCTGAGCTTCAGGAATCTCCAGGACATTCATTCCTGGCCTTCATGATGCTCTGAAGGTTCACTCCTGCAAGCTTTCATGGTTGGCACAAGAGACCCCTCAGCTGGCAAAGGAGAGAGAGGGAGGCAAAGCATTTTTGACAGCTCCCCCTCCCCATTTTACCTTTCCCTCTGAGCAGGTGCTGTTCAGCTAAATGGCCTGGAAAACATGTGCTCTAAGTATCATAGCTATTGGAGCAAGGAGGGACACAGGAATCCATCCCACAGCCATGATTTCTGCAGAGCAACTGGTGGTTTTCAACTCCCTCCTCGCCTTCCCCCTGAGATGCTCGGCTTCGGGATACTTCAAATTACAGTTTCCAACAGATCAGCCCCCCAAAACTTGCTGGTAGCACAGCCCAGTCACATGGATCTCCAATAAAAGTTACCTAAATATGATCAAAATAAAGATCCAGGGACAGGGAGAAGGTAGGAAATGGGATTTATGGTGCTGCACAGTGGCACAACACTTAAGGAGCGGGTGGAGGAACAAGCCATGCAACGTATGGAATGAGCCTGGATTAGTGCTCAAGAGCACCCCTAGAACAAGACAAGGAGTAAATTCAGGGGGGGAAAAAGGGCTTTTCCCAGTCAACAAGCAATGAAACTCTTCCAGGTGAAGAATTACCCTGAGTAGAAGCCACACACATGGACCCACACGCGTTTTCCCTCCCCAGCACTGGATGGGTGCCCGGGGAGCGATGCGGCGGCCTCGGCCCTCTGCACACACATTCCAGAAGCCCGGGAAAAGGGGTGAGGTGGCACTTCCCCGAGCATGGCATCAATAACAGAGCGCAGGCAGAGCCAGGGAGCTCCACCTGACACGCTGCACAGAACCTCCATAATCCCATAAAGCCCTTTTATGCAACCCCAGGCTGAGCGAGGTCCTGTGAGGCAACCGTGTCAGTCGGACGCTTTCTCAGCTCCTCACAAAGGCCAAGCTGTTCTTTCCAAGGAAATATCTCAGGGGAGGGTGTGCTTTTTGTTTTTTACAACCCCAGTCCACCAACTGTTACGATTAAACTGCCAGCCAGGGCTCTGGGACTGAGTGACTTTGCATCGAGAGGGGGCTGAGCGTGAGGCGAAGTGGACACACCTTCTAGAGCCCGTGGCAGGGAGGTTGGAACTGGGTGATCTTTAAGGCCCCTTCCACCCAAACCATTCTAAACTGGATTTTAACGTTCTACAAGATGGTGTGTTTGACCACTGGGAACCTGGAGAGGGACCAAACAGCTCACTGCACACAGCCCAGGAAGCTCTGACTCCCTGCAAGTTAACCCCGGCCTCTCTGAGAGCAACATGAACCCACAAAGCCAGGACACTCGGCATAATTCAAGCTTTGGCCTAATCTTTCCTGGCTTTTTCCTCACCCTTGCACCATCCAGATCTCAGGAAGGACCTGCCTGACCTGTGCCATCCCCACCACGCTGAAAGGAACCTTTGTGACATCATTTGCACTAATCCCCTTCCAGTCCCACCTATCCCTACTTTCAAGCCTGGCATCCAGAAGGTTCCTTATCACCTGCTGGAATTACCAGACCCATCCAGTTTGCACACACGCTGCTTGGTGGCATTTGGCTCCTTCACTTGGGAACTTCCATCCCAAACTGCTTTGTTTGCCCGGAGTTCGGTCTCCAGGACTTGGGAGAGATCCCAAACACTGCCCAGCTCACCCTGAGAGCTGTGCAGCCGAGTTTTTATCTGTGGCACCCTGGAATTATTCCCCCCAGACACGCAATCCAAGGCCAGGCCCTGCTTTCAGCTCATCTCAGAAGCCAAGGGTTTTTATTGCCCCGTCAGCTCACACCTCCAGCGGCCTCCCTGGATTTTCCCTTGCTTAAGTGGGGACTTTCCTGCTGGGAATTTAAAAGGGGGGGTGAGGACACACAGAATTAAGGCACCCACACAGACCTGGGGGGTGGGTGCTCTCTCATTTTTTGGGAGTTTCCTTTCCAAGGGCCACTGGAGGCACAGGCCAAGGTGAGTTGCTTTCCTGCAAGGAAAAGCCTCTGCTATTCCCACCTGGAATGCCAGGCCTGCTGAAATATCACATTCCTGTCCCAGCACTTCCTCCTGCTGGGAGATTTATCTCTGGCACATCTGCACAGTGACTCAATTGCTTCTGTTTTCACTTCCTAGGTGACTGCTTTTCCTGCAGTGTTGCTGCTCTTCCAGCCCTTTTTCCCTTTCTTCCCAACACTCTTTCTTCTTTTTAATAATTAAAAAAAAGCTCCTGGAAAATTGACAACTTCCAGCCCTTTTTCTTCTCTTTCCACCACTGTTTCTTCCTTTTAATAATTAAAAGAAACTCTTGGAAAATTGACAACTTCCAGCCCTTTTTCTTCTCTTCCCACTACTGTTTCTTCCTTTTATTATTTAAAAAAAAGCTCCCGGAAAATTGACAACTTCCAGCCCTTTTTCCTCTCTTCCCACCACTGTTTCTTCCTTTTAATAATTAAAAGAAACTCCTGGAAAAATGACAACTTCCAGCCCTTTTTCTTCTCTTTCCACCACTGTTTCTCCCTTTTAATAATTAAAAGAAACTCCTGGAAAAATGACAACTTCCAGCCCTTTTTCTTCTCTTCCCACCACTGTTTCTTCCTTTTAATAATTAAAAAAAAAGCTCCTGGAAAATGGACAACTTGAACATTAACCTTCACTACAACACCTAAATTAATGATTCCACAACTCAAGCAGTCAGACTGACTTATGCTGGACACCAGGACTAGACTATTATTATTATTTTTCACATCCAACAGCCTTCAGCTGCCTCCTCTCTCTCCCACCACCAAACTCCCACGCTGTGAGGAAGCTTCTAAAAAATTATTTACCAAAATCATTAAAGCCAACTGAATATCCGAAGCACAAAAAGCCCAAAATCCAAGAAAATAATCTGAATTTCATGGTGAACGATGAAGATTTGATGTTTGGAGCAAGAGTTGGCC